TACGAAACTTGTAGGAAGATTGGATTCAATAAAGGAAGCCCAAAAAAAAATCTCCTAACAAAGCATACTTGGCACAAAAATCTCCTAACAAAACATACTTGGCACAAAAATCTGCCGATCTATTACATTCTCTATTAGCAAAAAGAAAAACAACTTTATTGAAAACTTGTAAGAAAGAAAGGTCCGGTTTGGTACCTTTGTTGGTCTTCAAGTTGATTGAATCTTGAATCATCTTCATGATATTTACATTGTCTCCTTCAATGATTATTCCATTGTATTCATAAAACCAATTTTGAATGTAGTTTCCAAAAGACATAATAGCTTTGAATTCCAAGTGAGCAATATCCCAATGAATTAGCTTTTTACCATAAGCACATAGCAATCTTTCATTGTAGTCCCTAAGAACTCCAGCAATACCTGCCATGTTGTTAACCGATAGAGTAGCATCAACATTCAACTTAATCCAACCGTGAGGAGGGGGACACCAAGATTTGGACAGCAAATGCTGGTTGGTGTGCCAGTTCTTTTCAATTGGATCAGAATGGAGATGAGAAGAATGAGATATAATTTCAGCTACCGCATATGCTAAAGGAATTTCAGCATTGCCATGCTTTGTCAAATTCCTAGATTTCCAGCTACAGAAAACTGCCACAGCAAAAATCTTCACAAGACCTTTTCCAGAATTCTGCTCTAAATCCTTATTGCACTCCTCCATGTTATGAAATTCAGGAACATTGAACCCACTTCTTCTCAATTCCTGTAATAAAGCCTTCAGCCTTTTACACTTTACAATAACGTGCTCTGTGTTTTCATTCTCATGACAATCTCTTGGACATTCTTTAGAATCAGATAATTTCCTGTGACAAAGCCACTCCATTGTTGGTAAATCTCCGTTCAATGTTCTCCACCATAACAAGTAGACCTTCTGATCTAATTTCAACTTCTTCAACCAAATGTGCTTGGTATACTTACTTTCCTTCTGAAACCAGATAGCCTCAGTGCTTAATGCCGAAACCGTTTTACCTGTATTGGATTGAATAAGTTCTAATTTATCTTCAGCATCATTTTATCCCTTCTCCATTTGCCGTATTAGCTTTACCATATCCTCTGAAAACAATTCAGTTAATTTTCCTGAATTCCTGCTCCCATCTTCATTCATAAGAAAAGAAACTTTCTTATCCTCAATATCCATCGTATTACACAATGCCGACCATTTGTTAATGCTTCTATCAAGTATTCAAATATCGGAATTTATGTTGATACTTAGACCATTGTTAATCTGCCATCTAACAATTGGTTTTAGATGTTCAATTCCATCTTTAATTAATTTCCAGGCCGTAGAAGCAGCTCTCTTCACTTTATCTTCCCATCTTATTGCTTCAAATTTTTTGAATAGAAATTTATGGAGGAGAGATTCCTTATTCTGTAGGAACATACAAGCCATTCTCGACCTTAACGGTCTGTGACTTGCCGCAGCTCCATGAATGCCAAAGCCCCCTAAGCTTGTAGGTAGGCAAAGAGTTTCCCAAGCAATATAATGTACCCCTTGCTTCCCATTTTCTTTGTGCCACAAGAAGCTCTTACAGATTTTGTCAATTTTTAATAAAATACTCTTAAGAATAAGGGAGTGTGTCACCTGATAGTTAATCAAACTCGAATAAGCCATTTTAACTAGAAGAATTCTACCAGCTAGAGATAGCCATCTAGCTCCCTAAGAATTTAGCTTGTTCATTGCTTTCTCCATGGTGCTATTATAATCTTCAGCTTTTAATCTTCTGTGAACCATTTTAATACCCCAAGTAGTGTAACTCTTTGACTTCCTTAAATTCCAAAATTTTGTTTATCTTTCTTCTTCTATTCTTGGACACAACGTTACCAAAGATAACCATGGACTTCTGTAAATTAACCGCCTGACCTGTCCATCTGCAGTATGTTTTGAAAATTTTCTTCAAAATTCTTGCATTCCTACTGAAAGCTTTTTCCATTACCAGAACGGCATCAGCATACAGTAAGTGGGTGATCTTCTCAGTATTCGTAGCCAGTTTCATTCCCAACTGTTCTTTATACTCGCTAAAAGCTTTAGAGAGGAGATTTGAACATAAAATGAAAAGGCTAGGTGATAACGGACACCCTTGCCTGAAACCACATTGAGCATTAATCCATTCTGTTCTTTTACCATTAATAACAATGGAGAATTTTGGG